GGTACCGCATTTCTGTGGGGAGCTTACCCATGCGCGAGATATGGCCGACGACTCGTGAACCTATGCGCGAGATATGGGCGACGACTCATGAAGACCCCCTCGCATACACAGGCAGTGAGAGAGAGAGAGAGAGAGAGAGTATGCGCGAGATATGGGCGATGACTCATGAAGACGCCCTCGCATACACAGGCAGAGAGAGAGAGAGAGAGAGAGAGAGAGAGAGAGAGAGAGAGAGAGAGAGAGAGAGAGAGAGAGAGAGAGAGAGTATGCGCGAGATATGGGCGATGACTCATGAAGACGCCCTCGCATACAGACATTGAGAGAGAGCGAGAGAGAGAGAGAGAGAGTAGGGGAGAGGCCCGAATTTCTTGGGGCCCGTCGGACCGTGCCTACGGGTGAGATAAGGGCGGTGGCTCATGGAGACGCCCACGAATACACATATTGAGAGAGAGAGAGAGAGAGAGATAGAGAGAGAGAGAGAGAGATGTATTGCCTGTGATGACATGGTGGTTGAGTGGTCTTACTGAGAGGTCATCTATTATTGGGCAGGGGTGAAGAAAAACAGATAGCATCAACGAGGAGTGAGGAATTGCGCGTTCTACGGGGGAAAAAGGGAGACATGTAGCATCCCTCAATGCTGCCAACATCCTGATTCTTGATTGTCGCACTCTCGTTCTCGGCCCTGTCCGTCTGTTATTTCTTAGTGTGACGCATGTGCATTTTAATGTCGGGTGGCTCACCTCTGCTGCTAAGGGCTTTTATCAGGGAAGGCTTTCCTCAGGCCCTCTGTCCGCTCGCCTCTGCAGCGGCTTTATCGTCTTCCATAGTATTTTGCCTTCGCTTCCGCCGTTAACTACAGGCTCTACTTCTCTGCAAGCAGAACTGTGCGCTTCTTTACTCCATGTTCTCTTTCCCTCTCATTTGAAATCTTGCGACAATAAAGCGCGGGAAGGCATGGCGGCGGTTTTTGGACGTTGCGCGTCCGAGCAAATGCTCTGATGAGGTTTCTTTTTAGTTTCTTTTGTCCTTTCCCTTCTGTTTGAGTTTATTCTTTCTGGTCTTCTATTTCCCCGCCCCCATCCGCTATCCCCCTCTCTCCCTTCTTTGTGTTCAGTGTTGCTTCCGTCCAAACTGGCGCATCAGTTACGTTCTGCATCGCTTTGCCTCTCTCTTTCACAGTCTCTCCCCCTCTGAATTCCTCTCTTCGCTCGTGTTTCGCACGCCTCCCGCTGCTGTTCTCACTTGCCTGCCGCTCGCACGGCTTTGTGCCCTTTCTCCCTGTTTTGTGCTCGCTCGGGTTCTGTTTCTTGCTCGTTGAAGCCGTCCTTTTCCTTCGGCCTCTTTGTAATTTGCCGTCTTCTGCTGATTTGTGTCTACTTCGCCAACTGTTTTTCGCGGGTGTGTGGAGCGGGGAGAGAGCCCTTGATAGGGGGGGTGGTGGGGGGTGATTGTGGGCTTATCTTCTCGGTCTTTTGTCGCGTAATGAACACTAAAACCCTTTTCACTCGCGGGGGGAGGATAAATACGAGTGCAAGAAGGTAATAATTTACACATAAGCAGATCAGTAATCCCATGCCATTTCTAGCTTTGCTCCGCTGGCGATAAAAGAAACCGTCACATCTGTTCTTTCGCTCGGAATCTTCCCCTCCCGTCACATTCTCTCCCTCTGTGTATCCATTTATGAATGTCTGCTCGGTTTGGTTTTCATATGGAATACGAACGAGATGTACAAAAGCGCAGGGAAAGCAAGAAACGGCAAATTCAGGAAAGCACCAGAAGTAACCAGGTGTTGACACGTGTCGCCCTGTGGGGTCGTCTGTTAGTATCCTGTTGATGAAAATCCTATCGAAGGTAACTTCTCCAATCACCCGGTTCTGCGCATATTGGCATCACCCACACAATTATCTGTAGAATTTGCAAGGGATTCTCTACGAATCCTGGGGGTCCAGCCTCTTCTCCTATTGAGGGAGATGATCCTCCGGCGGCATAGCTTTGTCTCATCAGCTCCCCTTCTTTGTGCATACGTATGCTGTTCCCCTCACTTCGGCCTGCCCTTGGACTGGTAAGCATCTTACGGTGGAGCTGTGATGGTGTGAGATGGATGCCATATCGCCCAAATATCTGCAAAGAAACAAAGAGTAGACGAGAGATAGGGGGGGGGGGTTATGCTGGGTAGAGCTGAGCGACTGTAGACAGAAGTGCGACGATGTATGTGCGAAAATTGCGAAAATGAGAAGGAAACGGAAAAGGTCAAAAAAAGTAAAGCATAACGAATTTCCCTCGAAAGAGGGTGCAATGATTGCTTCCTCTTGTCTGTTCTCCTGTTCATTTTGCAAATGCGCTTGTTATCCATAACTGTGTGACAATATATGTCAACAGCTAAATATGTATATCTATATTTATGTCTGAGTTCAATCCTTCTTTTCTATGTGAATAAATGCATGTGTACTGAATTGAAACTCGTGAGTGGCTGTTAACAACATATCATGCATGTAGTCCCGTATTTTCTCACAATGAGTCTCAATCTCAGCAGCGAGTATCCAGAAGTAAGACGAAGGTAGAAAAGAAGTAGAGAGGAGGAGGAAAGTCTCATTTTAATCAATGAATACAATTGCACGGATCTTCTGTTTCCCCTTTTAAGCCGACCGGGGCAGGCAACTCTTTTGTAGTGTTGACCGGCCTTGGCCTGCCCCAGTTTGCCTCCTTGTGTGGCTGAGATTTCCCAATCCGGATAGCCCAGGTTTGCTGCTCGTGAGAAATTTCTGACTCTTTGACTGCTTTTCCTAAGTTGGGCCTGACTCCTGCTTTTCCTAAAGTCAACTACATTTTTAGGGGTGCATGGGTTGCCCCTTTTGACCTTTCACCCTGTACCTGTTGACCAAATAACTTTTCTGAGACCCTTTGGGCAGAAGACATGAACTTGTCGAAAAGTTATGCCGCTGGACTATGTCTGTGTGGATTCGAACTGGGTTCTTTGCACTCTTGCGGTCCTGATTTCGAATTCCTTTGCAGAAATTTCAATCATTATCACTTATCCCTTTTTCATAACTCATAATGATGTCTGCAGCAGTAGGCATAAGTTCTTTCTTACAAGATCACCTGCATTCTGATTCAGGTTGAGACGTGAACTTTACCTTACATTGTTTCTGGTCCCATGGTGTAGAATCTTCTCAACTTCGTACCCTCTGTCCACAGATTGTGGTCATGGATAGACGACTGGGAAAGTCGTTATAGTCTGTATAGGGTAGGACTTTAATGTGTGAAAGCCTGGATATGTCCTGAGATGTGGTGGTATACCTATCCTGTACGACAATCCGTGCTGATCACCAAGCACTTGGAGAACTTCCCAAGGACCAAAAGTAGACGGGTAGCAGTTTCTATGTATTCTTTCATCCAAAGGTATTCATTAAACTTCACCCGAATAAGGTCTCCTTTAAACTCTCAAGGTTGCCCCTGTTTGTTTGCATCCTCAATCATTTGAGTCTGAGCTTTCATTATATTCTCTTTAACCTTAAGGATATCTTGTTCTTACAAATCCGCAAATTCTTTGGTTGCTGGAGGGGACCTTTGAATTTGATCCGTAGTCAAAGCATTAATAGTTTTTTAAGGTTGCCATACCTCATGTACATTAGGCATTTGACCTGTTACATACAGTGTGAACTGAATTGTTGTGCGCACTTGCAATCTTTCATAGGTTTCTCATCCCGGTCTATTGTATCAGCTCTCACATACGTCTGTAGAAGCTTCTGGCATAGTCTGTTCGATTGCTCAGCTTGACCATTCATATTCTTAGGATGCGTTCTTGGCAACATAGTCAATTGCGTTCCATGGACTTCCATCAGCTTCTGCCAATGCTGTCCTGTGAATCAGACATCTCAACCTCAAACAATATTCTTTGGCTTAGAAACCCAACACATCTGAAATTGCTGAATTACAAGATCAGCTCTTGCTTCAGCCAGTACCGGAATGGACATCGCATACTCAAAAACCAATCCACTATAACCATAACTTTGCCTATTCCATTCCTGCTCTTAGTTAGACTAATGACGTCTATATAAATAGACTCCCCAGGTCCCGCAAGTATAGGAAGTGCTCTAAGCAATCCTAAATGGTTCTGATGGGAAGACTTGTTTCTCTAGCAGACAAAACATGTTCTCGCTTATGTGATAACATCCTCTTTCATTCCGAGCCACCAAAACTGTTGCAAAACATCAGTATACTTCCTCCTGCCAAAATTGTCCTTCGGTGGCACGCCATTCTCCAAGAATCATACTTGTGATAGTTTCATCTTTAAACCACCAGTACACCCGGGCCTGCTGGCCCCTCACTGCGTGCCAAGCTTTTCCGAACCGCCAGTGGTGCACCTTTTTTCTTTTTTGGCTGGCGCCGCCAGGCATCATGGTCCGGTAGGCCGTGCTGCTGAAATTTTCGTAGGCTACGAGTTTCTTTTTCAGCAACGCTGGGGCCATGTACTGGCGGTTGAAGGACAGATAGATTCTTCCTTGTTCCTTACTGGCTTGAAATAGTATGTCATCTGTCAGGTTGTACTCTGGGAAGTGTTTGGGATTCTTCTGAAGAGTCTGGATTATTATTGTTCAAAGCGTGTGTTTAGCATAACATTCCAATGTCAAGGTAGGTTGCTGTAGCACCAAATAAATCAGACCCTTGCGAGAGTGCATCTGCTACTAACACTGTTGTATCTACTCACTGCTGTATCTACTTTTGATTGTCTTCAACTCTAAAGTCGTACTTTTGATTGTCCTTTTTATGTCTCAATGATCGAAGGCCAATAGGTAAGTCACTTCTCAGATAATCTGGGCTGAGTCTTCAGCCATCTCAACGTTTCATGGTCTGAGTATGCTCTGCGGTGTTTGCCAAACAAGTAGTGTATCAATGTTGTTAAGGCTTCTAGCAAAGAGTTCCCTCTCGCAAGTTGATTTGGCCACTTTTTCTGATGGGAGGCGTTTAAACAAACTCAACAGGTCTATGGCCATTCCCATCATTCTGCTGCCAGACTGCCCCAATCCCATACTGGCTAGCAGTAGTTGTCACAACAGACAGGAACGAAATGGGTCTGCAACTTTCAAGACAGGGTAATGACTCAGAATGATGGGTCACAGTCTTTATCCCACAAGTAGTCTCTTTCTTGAGGAGTCTTCTCATAGGTGCAACTTTGATAGGGAAGTTCCTTGGAACTCCCTGTAATAATGTAATCGTCCTAGGGAAAACCTCAATTCAGTGAGGGTCTTTGGCCTGGGCCAATCCCTTGCAACAATTTCTTGATGTTTCGGCTGCAGTCCTTTTTAATTTACAATGTCTACTAGGTATAGTAATTCGAACTACATCCCTGGTTGCAACAATTTCTCGATGTTTCGGCTGCAGTCCATTTTCATTTACAATGTATCCTAGGTATAGTAATTCGAACTACACGAATCCTGGTTTCCTAGTCTTGTGTGCTATTGTCATTGCTATTGTAGCACGTGTGTAGCCCTGCCCATAAGGGCCATGCGGACTGGACATCAACTGGCAGTTTTCTGTGAGTGCAGCACATCGTTGTGATGTCTTAGCAACACTAAATGAGGGTTGCGATCATTATAGTAGTTAACCCAACATCTCACAACGCGAGCCGGCGACAGCCATGCAGCACCTGTATGAAGTCAAAGTACATTTCTTACGAGGAGTTTCTTTCGTATGTCAAGGGCTGGTAAGGTTTTGCGTGTTGTATCGAATTATAAGGACAAGTCGTAGGTGTGCCTTGTGATCCTCCTACATTTCACTGAAAACCAGGATATTGTGGAGGTCAACAATTACAAGTTTTTCCAACCTTTGTCTGAACAGCTCATTCATGGACCTTTGAGGTTGCAGGGGCCTTGGTTGGTTAGTCCAAAAGGCATGAGAACAAACTTGTAGTGTTGTGAATCCCGTCTTGTGCTCATCTTCAGGTGCTTCCTCAATCTGGTGGTAGCCGGACTCAAGATGTATCTTTGAGAAATACTTGCTAGCTTGCAATTGGTCTAATAGGTCGTCGATCCGAGGTAGAGGTTCTGTGTTGTTCACAGGTAACTGCGTTCAAACCTTGGTAATTGATCTTCCTACTCATTGTGCACAAATAATAAAGGTGTGCCATGAGGCGAAGAACTAGGCTTGATCCAACCTTTCTCTGTAACTTCCTGCAGCTGCTTATGCAGTTCTTCTGATTCCAAGGTTGATATTCTGTAGCTCAGTCCGTTTGGAATCTTACTACTGGGTATGATCTTAATGGTATGTTTGGTTGTCCTTTCTGTGATGTTGGTAGGTTCTGCAACCCTTAGATCCTTTTTTAAGTAGCTTTTCGATAGGAAAAGAGGTAGATGAAGATCCTCCCTATGGCTTTCACTAGGATCATCATTACTTCTTTCATCAATTCCTTCTTTCTAACAAAAGGCAGGCAAACTAAAAGCCTGCAAAAAGACAATGAGGGGATTAGTCTACACTTATAAAACAGTCTGACCGATTTGAACTCACCTATAGGATCAGATAGTTCTTTCACTTTCATTCCAGATGCATCTTCTTAATTGTTTTTTTTGCTGATTGCGAATCAGTTAAAGCACCTAGAGTTCTCACAATCTAATTGTCCACTACGATCAATTCCCATTTCTTAGTTGCTTTCTTAGCCCATGAATTTCATGATGCAATGAGTTCTTCACCAAGTTCTTCAAGGGGCTTACCCAATGTTACAGAAGTGGATTGCTTCAGGGGGATTTGGGTGAGCGGCCGAAGAAGAGCCATCTTTTGCCACTGAGCTGGAGGGTGGAAGGGGTGCCGTGGTGCCAACTCATGTGCACCCTCTGGGCTCAGTAGGAGCAGATGCTACTCGTACTGGCTGCTCGCTTTTGGGTCCCAAATCTGGGGGCACCATACTGTGATGTGCCCCTGAGCGTGACAAGGCACTAGCCCTTGTCCATCCTCTCCTGCCTGATTTCCTGGGTTATGCACATTTTCTTCCAGGGCTGTCCGGTAGCTAGGTGAGGATGGGGTGGAAATAATATTTTCTTCTTCGTCTTCTTTTCTTTTCCATTGTTCTTGTCTCCGTTGCTGGCTGCTACAGTGGTGATGCCTCCATTCACTGGCTCTCTGCGGCCTTTCTCTTCACGGTTGTTCCATTCAGGCGCCATCTCTCCACCCTCGTTTCCATCGAGCAGCAATTTCCGAGTCAGCAAGATAGTGGACCCAGCTGCAGTATCAGACATGGGGTTTGGGCAAGCGGTAGTAACACCGCAACAACAGTCGGAAGGGATCATTACAACAGCAGTGACCACTGACCACCATACGACAACAGTAAGTGATTATTTTTGTCTCCTAGTCTAAACCAATATTCGAACATACCCAAGTCCGACAGTCCGACAATGCTCTCACTAGTGTTTTGCGAATTTATAAGACCCCAATTCCAGCTATCCCCGGATGAACCTTGCCAAGCAGCCGTCCACAGTCTACCAATGGTTCAACTTTCCTCTCATTTCCCCGTTGCTGGTAAGTCCCCAACTTCTCAAGCCTCCTCATCCACCACATCCACTGAGGGCAGACTCAAACTAGCAGGTTCTTAAATGTACCTGACTGAAATTACGCATCTAGCACCCAGTTGAAAGAAGTCAAGTGAGAGAATGACTTGCAGACAAGCGGTTACTCATTCCTCAGTGCTCTGTGATCTCTACTGTGCCTGCCTGCATTGCCACTTGGGCACACCTTTCACCTTCAACGATGAGTGGCTTGTTGCTAGTCGTTAGACACTCTCCAGCCGATTGTGGCTTCCACGGCCACCCACCTGTTTTCCCTCCATTGATATTCCCCGTGGTGGTATCCTACTGAATGAAACTGCCAATCATCTATGGGCAAATTCGTTCAACTTGCAAACCGTGGATGGGCTTTCTTCCTGAATCCGACTGCAGTCGTGGCCAATTGCATGTCTCATGTCGTGAATCTGCCCCACACCTGAGGCAGACTTACTCGATTCCTTACGCAAGATCGGTATATACCTACCCTACACAAAGGGCGGGTTCAGGATACTCTCATAAAAATCGACAAACCAAGAAGAGAAAGAACCGAAAAGAAGATAAGGCCACAAAAAGAAAAGAACTAAGGATCTGGAGGGTGCAGGTCCAAGGCTTGACTGCCAACTCTACCTCTCTGCAAGGCTATAAACCCTGCTACTGGACCGTGGAGTCCTACTCGGCGGGCTCTTCATAAGAGTTGAGCGCCCATTCTGGGTGGCCAGCCCAATTGGTTAGTCTACCGCACTTTCAGCACGGAGACTAGGGTTCAAACCCCAGCGTCTGCACAGATCACCATGAACTGGACTGGGCCTCCCAAGAAAAAAACCTTTTGGCCCGGTTGTGCAACTTCCTCCGACTGTCTGATGTTTTTGATCGAGAAGTCCTTTTTATTAACCCAACCACCCGCTGCCTGGTTTCAGCAGCTTAATGACTCTATGTTTTATGATTGCATAACCACCCCAGCAGAAAGGCCGGCCTGCCTAGGTTCGGCGAGGCCTGAAGCCTCGCCAAGGCCACTGTATGCTGCTCGGAGGGGCAGGGGAGGAAGGGAAGGTGAGGGGACCGTGAGTTGGGGGATGGGGAAAGGGAAAAATTGAACGTATATTGTTTGTTTAGCTGAGCTAGTTGCTGTTCCTGTTGTTTAGAAAAGATTGATGAAAATAAGAGCTTGGCAGGAAGGCGGACAAGTTTCCCCAATTTGGTGGCTGGTAAGAGGGGTGAAAAATGCTTGCAAAAGGTGCATGGTCTGTTGAACGTCGTCATCCCAGCAGATTGCAGCAAAGGTTCAACTTTTTCTTTTCCTTTTCTTAATAAATAAGGCACGAGATCCTGGCATCGTTGTGTCGTTCAGGATTTGAACTCATAACCTTTTTATTAACGGTTACACTTGTATACCATTCAGGCACTGGGCAGGTAGACTTTCTCACGCTTCTTTTGTCTTTGCCATAGTTCACTTCCTTTCCTGTTTGGCCGATTTTGTTGCCTTTGCTTTCTATGTAAAGCATGCAAGTGCATATTTGAATTTTGGGTCGTTAAAGGTTCCGGAAAGAACTTCGTTGTTCAGAGATGACCTCTACCCACGTTGTCCATTGCAGATTCAGAGCCTGCCAGATGGAAAAGGGATCGATGGTTAGCTGGGGTGGGGTGGGGTGGGGGGTGGGGGGGGAAGATAGGGGGCTGTTGCTGTGATTGCTTTGTTCTGCAGTTCTCTTTTGACCAATCCATTGCGTTGTTGTGATGGACTGCTCATATTGTGTGGCACAGCGACTCCGTTGTGGAGAAATGGGCCGCCAGATAAGCCAGTGCTTTGCAACGCTTGTGGATCGAGGTGGAGAACCCGAGGAAATCTGACCAATTACCTTCCTGCAAGTCTGGGAGGAAGTGGTCATGGGGGAGGTTATTATGCCCGGGGGTCCAAATCTGCATGGTGCAAGTCCTCAAAGGAGAATTGCCGAAAAACTAACAGCAGCAACACCAGCTTAATTGTGAAGGTGACTCAGGCGAAGCAGTTGTCGGCCTCTTCGACCACTACTTGTTGGACTGGGGAACATCTACAGAACAGAGTATCCCCCTGGAAAGGTCACGATTGGAGGAAGGGAGATGCTGCAGCAACGGTGGAAAACAATGGGGCTTTGGTGAAGAGGCCGCGACTACCTACATCTTGTGGGCGGTGTGATACTGATGTGGCTGACAATACGTCCAGAACACCTTTCACCAGCCCTGTGACTGTGGCATCACTGGAAAGCATTCCTTGCATGCGGCGATCCAACGATGCTGTCGAATTAGCAGATGAAAGGGAGCAGTTTGCAGGTAACATGTTCTGCAGGATGTTGGACTCTGAATTTTTCCATTTCCCGTGGAGTAATAGTTGTGGTCATTTACGTTTTTCTGTTTTGATTCTGATGGCAGTCTGCTTCCTTATCATGGTACCGTGTTTTCCTTTCAGTCACAATGCTCACGTCATTTTTCTGTTTATTTGTTTGCGAAAGCTACATGGCATGGAAATTCAATATCTTGAGGTTCATCTAAAGAAACAGCCATCAATATTTCATCACGTGGCTGGCTGGACAACTGGCAAGCCTGCAAGTGGTTTTTGCAACTGAGCAAAATAATGGGCTTCATTTAAAATGCTGCAAGCCACCGACAACACGTCTTTCTGGGCATCTTCTGACATGCCTGGGAAACCCGTCTGGAAACCGGCTACCTCTTTGGAAGTCCAGCAGGTTCCCAAGGGCAAAACACCATAAATGGACTAATAGGCTAGTAATAACCTAGTTTCAAGTTTGTTGATTTATTGTGAAATTATTATCTGCTTATCTTTTTTAAATCTGTCCATCAGGATTTGAAGTTTGAACTCATATAAGTTGTTTATCAACAATCACATATTATTTCTGCCTTCAGGAGTGCGTATTTCTGTATTTTGAGATCGTTTAGCATTTTCAGTACTGTGCTTACTATTGTGTGGCTGTTGAACTCTTTCACTAGCAACGACCAGGACACAGTCTCAAATTCCTCTGTTAGTCTACTCTAAGGGGGGGAGGAGGATTGGTGGGTAAAGGGCCAAGTTTGAGGGCGGGGTTGAGGTCAGGCATCTCTGTGACAACCCTTTTGCAGTAGAACTGAGGGCGTGTATTGAGCTACACAAAACCTCTTGTGAAAAGGTGTCTAGTGAAGGCTATGGATAGGCTAGTCGCCTGGCAGTCTTTAAAGGGGCAATTTTGATGAGGCAGCACATGTGTCTGCAGGCAGCAATCAGGGAAGGGGGTTGATCGGGGAATAGGGGCGGAAGAGTTGAGAGGAAGATTGAAGGGCAGGGTGCAGGATGTTCCTTTTTTTCCCAACGTTTTATTCAACCAAAGATGGTAGTCTTCTGCTGTTGTTCCTGCTGCTACTACTTTCTCTTAAACCACCACTACCCCCGCCGGCGTAAAATAACTTTCCTGGCCTTACGGACTGGGTTCTTAGGGGCGGCAGCAACCGCCAGGCGCCTGCGGGCCCGATCCAAGGATTTTCAAGCGCCAACTTTGGGGATTTTTTGCGCTCAGAAGAATTCAGAAAAAAATATGAAAAATTGAGATCCTGTAGATTAGATTGTGATCTTTCCAGGAAAAATATCAAAAGAATTAAAAACAAATATTTAGACCTTGAAATAAATGCCGCGCTGTTTCGTCGCATTTTCGAAATTTGCCACTCAACCACATGTGGGCCAACCGGAAAAGTACCCTGACTTCCGCGATTTTTTGCGCTCAGAAGGACGACTCAACAACTTTGCAAATTGCAGGGCTTGTGGATTTGGTCGTTGTCTTACCATGAAAAATATTTAAGAAATGACAAAAAAAATTTTAGACCGTGAAATAAATGTCGCGCCAATTCGTCCCATACTCCATTTTTGCTGCTCTATCACGTGTCTGCCAATTGGAAAGGTACCCGACTTCAGCAATTTTTCACGTCCAGTACAATGCTCTAGGAAGTCTGAAAATTGCAGGGTCTGCAGATGTCGTCTTGATCTTTCTAGGAAAAATATTTTTAAATATTAAAACAATCATTTCAACCTGTGAAATAATCACAGGGGCAATTTGATGCATTTTCCAATTTTTCCACTCCGCCGGTTCCCCCCACTGTGCTACCGGTAGCCCTCATGGACCTGTGCGACCAGTCCCCCCTAATTTAGGACGGCGGGGGTAGTGGTGGTTCAAAACTTTGGTGGGTCCTTTTTTGCTGTTTTTGCTGCTGCTGCTGCTATTAAACCACCACCACCCCCGCTGGCCTAAAATGGACTTTCCTGGCCTTACGGACCGGGTTCTTAGGGGGGATGGCGACCGGCAGCCGCAGGCGGGTCCGGTCCAAGAATTTTCGAGCGCGAACTTTGGCAATTTTTTGCGCTCAGAAAAATTGGCCAAAAAATCTGAAAAATCGATATTCTGTAGATTAGGCCGTGATCTTTCCAGGAAAAATATAAAAAAAAATGAATAAAATAAAAAAAAATTAGACCGTGAAGTAAATGCTGCGCCGTTTCGTCACATTTTCCATTTTTGCTACTCTACCACGTATGGGCCAACGGGAAAAGTAACCCAACTTTTGCGATTTTTTGTGATCATGATGTGCGAGGATTCGGATCCTCAGCAGGTCTAAGGGGGCCCCTGTTGCATCTGTGCCCGCCCTAAGTGAAGGCGGGCCTAACAAATCACGAGAGGCCCTCGGCTGTCAATTTCATATTTGGGGGTCCAGGCAGTTTCGTCGTGCCAGTTGGTCGAAGGAAAACACAGGCCGAGCAGCGTGGAAATTTCCCAGGCCTTCTAGGCCTTTCCAAAAGCACAGGCCCTGGGCGAGATTCACAGCCTCGTACACAGACAGTTGGGAGGCCCAACCGAATGAGGCCCAGTAGCTACACCTGAGGCGCAGCATCCTGGGGCCTACCGGAAGCTTCTGGGCCCAGGCTGTCCAGCCAGGGCTGCGAATGCAGGAGGGTCTTTCCATATAGGAAAGAGCTCGCCATGGTCAGCGGCATTCGGGCACTTGCTGGCTGGCGGCAGCGCTGCTGGAGCTCATGCTCGCGTGCTGGCTGCTAGCGCTGGAGCAAGGTGCTGTGCACGTGTGGTTGTGTGTGGACGCAGGGTGCTGCTGAGGGCAGCACCATAGCCCAGCCTCCATAGCTGGCTGAGGGCCTGGATGTACAGTGAGTCGCAGGGGTAGTTTTCGGGTTTCAAGAGGGAAGACGTGGGTGTCAGACAGGGGAGAGAGAGAAGGATGATGATGATGATGATGATGTGAGAGCACATACCTGATATTGGCGGTGGTCTGCTACGGGCGACATCTTCAAGTACTTCGTTGGCTGCTGACGTCAACAGTTGAATTGTCAATTAGTAGGCTAGTAGTAGCTGTGTAGGGAGTAGGCTGGGTGCCGAGCGCCAAGTAGGGAGATGGGGCCTGGATACTCGTTGGTGGTGGCGAGAGCAAGCTCTCATTGACATTGGTTTTCAGTGTTACGATTCTTCATCGGTGTTATATTGGTGCAATGCTACTCTTTGGACACTATGATACTATCCGGTCTTCAATGTAATTGTGCATTCTGGTTATTGTCATCTCGCTATTGCCCATTTTCCTTGCAATTTGGTATCAGAGCTGGTTTGAACTGCGCTCAGTGGTTCTTCGCAATAGCTGTTCGGTGCTTCGCATGAGGTGTGGGGCAGTGATAAGGCTTGGGCGTTGGACGTAAGGCGGCCCAGGGTCGTGTGGGATCGCCAGGAAGCTATGTTGTGACATTAGGGGTGTACGCTGGATGATGAGAGCTCGCGGATGTGGCATTTAAGCCGAGGTGGAACTGGATACTGCTGTTGGTTGTGTCAAGGTAAAGACCGGTCATCATAAATGCACACCAGGTTGCCGGTGAGAGATCTGTGGTTGGGGGCAACATTATGAGGAATGTTGCTCTCTTCCTTATTTACCCTCTTCATTACTTCTTACTGTGAGGAAGTGAGTTCTGTTTTGAGAGTCGTCTCAATGTGAGGTGTCGCGAGCGCTCAACCTTGAGAGTCGACATTCTTCATTGGCAGCAAGCTGGTGGGAGACGGCCGAAGCCTTTGAAGGGCCTTGGAGGAAGCACTCAGGTCACGGTCACCATGCCAACCCGCTGGGACCAGTACATGCATGCTTGGCCGCAAGTCCTTGGTTCTGCTGCTGCGCAATAGAGGTCATGCAGGGCATGCCAACCCTTTGAACAGACGCTTACCAGACCGTCTTTAAATATTTCTGGCGGGGACTCGGTGTTGACTCTGGCTGTGATCGTCGCCCTGATTGCGACGTTAAAAAATTCTTGAGGACCGTGGGAGCTGTCCTAAAACTGCCTCTTGATCAGCCAGATCAAATCGGGTGTAAGGCTCGTTGCATGGGAGGATAAATAAAGTGCAGGGGCTGGCAGGTTCGACGTTGACTTGGGGCACAGGGGTGGGCCGGATTGCACACCTTCAGACACGCTGCTCAACCAGATGCTCAGGGCGTTGACACAAAGAGACAACTCAAGAAGGATATGGGGAGGGGGGATTCCGGTAACTGTTCGCGGTGGCATTAATTAGACAAACTGCCATCCAACATGCATCTCAACAGGTAGGTTATTTTTATTTTTGATTATTTAGTTGTTACGGATTTGTTAACAACTGACAGACAATTGCAGATAGGTTAGTTCTTTCCTTGCTGCATTGCAATCTGTGTAAGAGTAATCTAAAAATAGAATTAAAACTTACCTGTAGGACCTGACATTGATTACTGGTTACTACTTGACTACTTCTCTCGAGGTTGACCGGAATTAGGTGTTTGATCATACCCGGTTGTGTGTCAGGCTGAGGTAGGGTTCAATGTGGACTAGTTTAGATCACACACACTGTAGCTCATGAGTGATGCATGCGGTAGTGAGGAGGAAAAATGAGTAGTGGAACATCTTAGAGTCACGCGTAGAACTGCGCTCAGTCAACCGATTACCTTCTTGGAGTTAGTCGAGGGAGAGGAAAGGCGGCTGCGAAGGGAAGTCAAGGAAAGGACGACATTAGAGAGGGTTAGGTTAGCGGCAATCAACGTTGAACGGACACTTGCAGCAGCAAGACTAGTGGACGCTAGAGTTCAGGTTGAGGTTGTGATGGCTACCTCTTCTTCAGTGTCACATGCCTTGTCTCATGCCTCTTCGTCAGGTGACAGTCAAGGTATCTCTCAGAGTTTTGTTAGTCAATCTGTTGGCTCACAAGTCAGCCACCAAATGCCACTCTTCTTCAGTGTCACAGGCCTTGTCTCATGCCTCTTCGTCAGGTGTCAGTCAGGGTATCTCTCAGAGTTCTGTTA